GGCCAGGGTGGCTTCAGTGGAGTGACAGTGCTGGCGCCAATGCCAAGGGGGCCGTGTTAGGGCTGTCTTCCTAGGACTTCCCTCATGTACCACGTGGGCCTGACCCCAGAGGGGAATGAAGGGGCAGGCCAGTAGGGCAGTGGCCTGGATGTAAAAAGGCACTACCTGATCCTTGGAGTAATTCAGACGTTCGGTGCCAATGAACTCCGATTTCTGTCTGGGTCTCTTGGTGAACGGTAAGTTGGCTCCCATCCGCAGACAGAACCCTTGACGACTGCTTACCTGGGCTGTCTGTCTCTAGGATAATTTTGCAACACGCAGGTACAGGTATAAGTTGCAGGGTGCAGCCCTGAGATTGACCAGTGGGTCGTTGTAGGGAGGCAGGAGTTACAGCTGGAAATCTGCAAATGCCCCATGCACTGTGCAGTGCCATCCCCTGCCCCCAGAGAGATTGACGCTCTTGTCCGCAATTTAAATGCTTCAATATGCCCACCGAGAAACAACTTCAGAAAGTTACACGTAATGAAGTCATAGAATAAGCTCTCATTTTGAATAGGAAGAATGAGGCTTCCCGTTTTGATTCCAAGAAAATCGGTATTCCTTCACCTCTGCTAAGTTGGCATTCAACAGATATTTAAAGGATCCTGGTTTGAAGGGGTGCCAACTCATTAGCTTGCCCAGGGTGCCAGAGCTGGCTCTTACCTGGTGGCGTGTACATCCCCTCAACCAGCTGGGGACCTGAGCTGTGAGTGGGCTTGTGCTGGGGCATCTGGCTGTACCCACACAAGTGGTCTTCCTTGGCATGTGTGGCCTGACATAGGGGCTGAGTTCCAGAGCCCTAAGGTTGGAGCCTATGCCCTCCGCAGGACGAAGGAGAGTATGTGAGTGGGAGATGAGTAGGAGACGGAATGAGGGGAACAGGCAAACAGGAGGGCACTGTCAGTCGCTGGGAAAGCTTAAGTGCTCAGTAAACGTAGGGCAACAAGGAAGATCAGGGGCTGAGGCGGGAAACAGGAGGAGCTGAGGCTGGGTAGAGAAGGTGCCTAGAGGCGGGCAGGCGACGAGGTCCTCTGGGTCTGACCAGGCAGTCCCAGCTCCAGCCCATCCCCTGGCCCCTCCCCGCTGCCGGCCAGAGTCACACATGTGTTTTCCTGTTTTCCGTTTCGGTCCCCGTCACCCTCTGCCTTTTCTGCTCCTCGGAGTCAACAGCTGCTGCAGCTCGAGCCTTAGCCGGCTTCCCTTCCTAGCACCTTCCCCTCCCCTGCCCCCCAGCGTGCTGGTAGCCCCTCCTCCTCGCACCTGCCCAAAGGTCACGGGACAGGTAAGAGGTGGGAGAGAAGGGACTATAGGCGAGGCGAAGTGCAGGAGGAGGATGGAGCGAGCGTCCTGAAAACTGGCTCACTGGAGACCCAAGAGCCTATTGTCTCTCGGTCCCGGCCCCGGCCCTCCCCAGGCAGAGCCCTCTGCCCAGAAACTTCAGCCCTATGCTAATGGGAGCCCTGGCCACAGGAGTAAACAATTTCTTGTTTCACTTTTTTTTTTTTTTTAAAGGGACTATCAGAGCCACAGTGGAATATAGAAAAACAAATGGAGAACTGGGGAGGGAGGAGCTGAGCTTCCAGCTTGGGGTGATGGGGGCATCCAGCTGAACCACAGTGTATGTGTTTTCTGTTTCTGTTGTTAGGGGAGGCAGCACAGACCAATTGGAACTAGGAAGGCAGGACATGGGGTCTCTGGGAGAGAAAGTATCTTCTCACATTTAGCTCTTGAGCCTGACCGAGCAGCCAAGACCCTGAACTGTGGGCTGGTTCCTGGAGGAAGTATGCTTTGGCGTTGCCATTCATGGGTGGGTTTGGGGCCAGGGGCTTCACTGGCTGTTGTGCTGGGGATGGCACACTCGGGGCCCTGTGCCTGGGTTCTCTGGACCCCTGAACCTGAAACTTCACCCATAGGCTGCAAGATGAGTGTGTTGTCCTGGTACCTGCACTAGGTCCTCAGAGTTGAATGTACCTCAGGCAGGAAGAAGACAGGGTGTTGTGTATCAGGAATGCTGCTATCTCTTGGGGTTCCAGACTCTGCAAGGCTCTCCTGTAAAGCCTGGGGTGGTGGAGCCCTTGGGGAGCCTGCTGGTCCCAGGCTGCCTGAATGGTGGAAGCATTGCCTGAGAGCCAGAGTCTCCGGGAAGAACGTGAGCTGCTGGAGACGGCGCCTTCCTGCCCACAGCCGCTGGTGCTAAGCAGTGGTTGAGGAAGGAGGGGGCATCTTTTCTCTGGAGGGCAGCCTCCCCTGCCCAATGTGCGCAGACTGAGAAGTAGGCTACGGAGATTCCACTGACAGCACTTCCTGGGGGGGCCGCTAGGGTGTGCTGTCTGCTGGAGTGTGGATTTCACCCCCGTGGGTTTCCGTCTCAAGATTCCCTGATGAGGACTTCGCTTTTCCCCAGCCGGGGACTAAACCCTGCACACGTCTTCCCCACTCTCCCTCACGGGTTCCCCTTCCTTCGTCCCCCCTTCATTCCTTACCTTTATGTTCCACCCACCCCTTGGTGCCAGTAAATGTGGCCTTAAAATGGCAGGCGGGGTGATGTATTTCCGTGTGTTTTTGTTTGCTAAGCAGTGGGCACCCTAGCAATAGCATCGCTGCCAAGAGGACTTGCGGTCGCCTCTCATCCCTGCAAAGGGATGAGAAAGGGGAGGAGCAGCTGGGAAGGAGATGGACCGGCTTGGTTGGAGCCTTTAGCCTAGCCTGCAGGCTGAAGGATGGCAGAGGCTCTCTGTTTAATCTAATCACACCCTCCCCCAGGTAATTCACGAGGGAGCCATCTGAAGTGTTTTCCTGTCTGAGGGGAAGGCCTGGCGATGGGGCAGGTCGGAACAGGTCGGATTGGGTGGGAGGTGGGGGGAGATAGCACAGTGTCGATTCAGAGCCTGGCCTCTGCTGGAGAGCCTCCTGGCTCCCTCGGTGGTTTGGCACCCTGGCACGTGATTTAGTGCCGGCCTGAAGGGGCTGCAGGCAGGTTTGGATGAGATCAGGCATTTGGGTGCTTAGCAGTATGTCTGGCACCGGGTAAGTGCTCCATAAAGGACAGCCATCATTAAAGGAGCGTGGAGGGGGCAGCCGGAAGACAAGGACAGGCTCCTCTGGAGGAATTTCCAGATATTTGTGAGGATGGCTTGGGAGAAGCATGATCTTTGGGAAGGCTGACACCAGGATATTCCTTTCGGTTAAAAAAAGAAAAGATTTAAGGGGCTGGAATGCAAAGACGTAGAGTAGAGATAAGCACCCCCCACCTGCCTGGGGATTTTTAGATCTTCCGTTCTCTGGTTGTAGAATAACCAAAGAGGGTTAGAAAGAGTGTGGGAAGGGACTGAGAAACTTAGAATGGGTAGGATGTATTTCTGTTGGTAAAAGAGACCCAGAATACCAGATTGAAGTAGACTATGAAGATAGAATATGTGATTTCCAAAAAATGCTTGACTTTCTCTGTTCTGGGCCTGTCTGTCCTTTCTGTCCAGGATAGCTCAATGAAATCTTATTTCTCCATATTTTTTAGGAAATTGGACTAAACTTGTATGTGGGGAAGGTGTTTATAGGAATTCATGGTTTCTTTTGAGGATGAAAGGGCACCTGAGCAGGGAGGGGATGCAGCCAGGGGTTTGAGTCTCATTTCGTGACCTTGTTTCCCAGGAAGTAGCTTGAGGCTCAGCCTTGGGGTCATGGCTCAAATTTGGGGGCAGCCATCCTTTGCTCTGAGGGGAAGTGTGCAGATTTCCTCTCTTAGGACGCCTGTCACGAGGCCACAAAGCGTGGGGACTGCACTTAGACTTCCTCTAATCTCAGCACAGCAACACGCCTTTGTGGCACCCTTGCCACCTCCCTGCCTTTCTTGTCGGCGGCCGGGGGGGGGGGGGCGTTGCTAGGGGATGGGGGCGGGGTGCATTCCTTCTCAGCCGTCCGCCCCGTCCTCAGCTAACTGCCTCAGGGCCAGCCTCCCTGGGGCTGCAGAAATTGCGCCCAGCCACCGTCGTTTCTTCTGGGCCCTCAGTCCCCGAGCAGCGCTGACAAAGGAGATTCCTGAGAGAGTGCCTTATCTTGGAAAGTGCTGAGCCTAGAGCTCCTGGCTGCCCCTTTTGCAGATGTGAAGGGCCCGTGAACCTTGGACCCAGACAGTTGCTTAACACTCCTCTCCCCCTCCCTCACCCCCTCCACCCATCTTGACTTCTCGATTTGATTTAAATCCAGAAGCATTTGCCTGGCCTTTCCTTTTACCGCCGGCTGGAAAGGAGGAGCGGTCAGGCCCCAGTTCCTAGAGGCTGCGTCTCTGTGACTGCCACCGCGGGAACCTGCGGGAACCCCGGGCCAGGGAGTGAGTGTACTTCGCCCCCGCCCCCAGCCCCGCTCACCTCGCCCACCCGCTGTGCTGCTCGGGGGGGGGGGGGGGGCCGGGGTGGGGGGGGCCTGGCCAATCACTTCCTCTCCCCAGTGCCTCTGGCTCTAGACCTCTCCCCTTGCTGGGCCAGCCTCCCTCTCTTGCGCCCAGCAGTCCCCTGCTCTGCAGGGCCGGCACCTGCGGACGCTTCCGTGACTTCCCAGCCTCGGCTTTGCGTCTTTGGGTGCCGACTCTCCAGCTGCAACTCCTGGGTGGGGAGCCGTCATCAGCTGCCTCCAATCACCTCAAGGTTGGGCTGTCCCTTTGGATCACCCTTCTCTCATTCATACTTTTTTGGGTGATGCAGCTATGCTGATGTGAGGAAGTTGACAGCAGGAAGCCTGGAATACTAGGGGCTGGGAAAGAGGTCTGGGAAGGAAAAGCAAGGAGAATCACCTGTCTTCTTTCTTCCAGGGTGGGGTGGGGCTGTTTGGGCTTTGCTAGGGCTGCCGACTTCACGTAAGGGTGGTTAAGAGCGGCTCCCTGAGCAGGGGGAGGGTGGTAGGTTTCCAGCAAGAGGTCCCGAAGCCTTTAGGTTTGCCAGAGCCCGTGTCCTTCGTGGGGTGGGGAGAGAGGTTTGTGAGGAGAACCCACAGATAGGCTGCTTGCAAGGTTGGTTCCTCACGTTGCAGCTCAGCGCAGGTAACAGGTGAGACTGAAATTAGAGGGAAGACAGACTGTTTGGGGGTGAGGCTGAAAAACCAGACTCAAATCACGAGGGTTATACCTGGGAACTGCCAACTTGCCTTTTATCACAGCAGACTCAGATAGAACCAGGATTTAGTTTTCTCCCTTGTTAGTCTGGTGGGCAGCACCGTCCTAATGAGGAGAAACAGCTGCTTTCTCTCTAGCGAGTGAGGGCCTTCCCTTAAAAATTTCCAGTTGGGGTTATTTTAATGAGCCAGCAGGAGAAGAAGAGGTTAATGGGAGGTGGGAGGCCAAAGAGAGCTCTCTCAGCTGGGGGGAGGGGGTGCGGCCGGACATTGCCCATATTGACCACTATGGGCAAGAGTCCTATGTAATTGCCAACCACCTGATCTATATCTTCATCTTTCTTCCTTAGAAGGCAATGCCAAGAAGCTGGTGACGGCCATCTTCTTCTCCGCCATGGCTGACGGCCTTAAGTATGAAGTGGCCTCCCAGCAGGAGGGGGATGCTCCCCCCTCCGCCGATGAAGCCAGCCCAGGGTCCGAGCAGGTAAAGCTGAAGAAGGAGATCTCGCTGCTTAATGGCGTGTGCCTGATTGTGGGGAACATGATTGGCTCGGGCATCTTTGTTTCCCCCAAGGGCGTGCTCATGTACAGTGCCTCCTTTGGCCTCTCCCTGGTCATCTGGGCTGTTGGGGGCCTCTTCTCCGTTTTTGGGGCCCTTTGTTATGCGGAATTGGGCACCACCATTAAGAAATCTGGGGCCAGCTATGCCTACATCCTCGAGGCCTTCGGGGGATTCCTTGCCTTCATCCGACTCTGGACCTCACTCCTCATCATCGAGCCCACCAGCCAGGCCATCATTGCCATCACCTTTGCCAACTACATGGTGCAGCCCATCTTCCCGAGCTGCTTCGCCCCCTATGTTGCTGGGCGTCTGCTGGCCGCTGCCTGCATCTGTAAGTGGGGCCGGGGCAGGAGGTGTGGGCTGGAGCATCAGGGCAGAGGCTGGGATGTGAGTCCAGTAAGCCAGCAGAAGGAGCTGGAAGGGAATGCCTCTGACACACTCTTGTTGTTTTTACTATTATTATTTAAAGATTTTATTTTTAAGTAATCTCTACCCCCCAATGTGGGGCTTGAATTTAACAATCCTGAGATTAGGATTTGCATGCTCTACCGACTGAGCCAGCCAGATGCCCCCCTCTTATTGTTTTTACATTCGTGTATGCTTCCTGTGAAAATTCAAACAGTAGCAAAGTGTAAAAACAGACAAAAACAAGCAAAACAGCAAAGAGAACAATTTACCTTTCCCCCAGTTTCCCATGGTGAGCTCCATTAGCGGTTTGTATGCCTTTCCTGACTTTCTTTCAAGAAGTGTAGTGTTTTTGTTTTTTTGATTGATTAATTAATTAATTAGCAGGCACCATGCCCGGTGTGGAGCCCAATGGGGGCTTGAACTCACGACCCTGAGATCAAGATCTGAGCTGAGACCAAGAGTTGGATGCTTAACTGACTGAGTCACCCAGGCGCCCTTCAAAAAGTGTAGTTTTTTTTTTTCTGTTTTTAAAAAATCGGATCATAATACATATATAATCCTACAGTTTTTGCTTTTTTCCCGGAATTTACCAGTGACATTTTCTACTTAGGGATCTACTTTTTTAAAAAAAGTTTGATGGTGTTCCATGTTAATTTTAAGGCTGTCTTATGTAACAAATCAGTCCTCTGTTAGTGGCCGCTTAAGTTGGTTCCAGTTTTTCTTTCATACAGGTAATGCTCCGGTGAATATCCTATTGCGTTCGCATGAGTTTTTCTGTGGCCTAGATTCTTTTTTTTTTTTTTAAGATTTTATTTATTTGGGGCGCCTGGGTGGCTCAGTCGGTTGGGCGACTGCCTTCGGCTCAGGTCATGATCCTGGAGTCCCGGGATCGAGTCCCGCGTCGGGCTCCCTGCTCGGCAGGGAGTCTGCTTCTCCCTCTGACACTCCCCCCTCTCATGTGCTCTCTCTCGCTCTCTCTCTCATTCTCTCTGTCTCAAATAAATAAATAAAATCTTTAAAAAAAAAAAAAAAAGATTTTATTTATTTATCCGAGAGAGAGAGGGAGAGGGAGATCATGAGCAGGGGGGTTACGGGTATAGGGAGAAGCAGGCTCCCTGCTGAGCAAGGAACCCGATGCGGGACTCGATCCCAGGACCCCGGGATCATGACCTGAGCCGAAGGCTCCCTTGACTTTTGCTCTGTCTCATAAATAACGCATTTAAATCTGTACATTCAACAAAGCTACATTGGAGGTACCGAGAAGCTGATCCGCTATAGCCCCATCCCTCCGGTACCTCTGTTTTGGAAAAATGCCCTCCTAGCCTGAAACCTTGGAGACCCTTTCCATGCCCCAACTGTGGATAAGCTCAGGGCTTCTGTCATTTTAAGGAGCAATTACCCAGCAGCGGCAGCTGTGAAAGTGCAGGTGTTTTGTACCAGGTGCAATTGCTCCCTGGATCAGCTTTGTCCAGGCAGCCTCATGTCCCCTTTTCTCGAGGTTTCTCCACTGCCCCATCTTACTCCTCAGCTTCCTTCCCAGCCTCCCTGCTTTTACTGTTGCAGAGGCCTGGGTGTCTGTGTGGGGGCCCCCCTGTGCTTTGTGTGCCCATGTGTGTGGCTCGGACTCATCTTTGTATATGGGGGTGTCTGTCCTGCATGGCAACAATCAGGGAGGGGTGGGAGGCACTGCCTTGTGTTACAAGAAGGAGGTTCTCCCTTAAGGTCTTAAATGTGATCTGTAATTTCTCTTGCGTCATGTACAGATGATCTGGTAGGTTGATTTACTGGTGAAACTAATTTTAGGATCTGTCAGGCTTGAAGTGCCCTCAAATGTGGGTATACAGTTACATATCTTGTGTGGTGTAAGGATTATTCCATCTAAGTATAATTTCCAAGATGTCTGCATCCCTTTAAGCCCTAGGATCCTATTATGCTAATCATCTTTGTCATAGTCTCTTTAAAACCAATGATATGTCTCCTTGCCTTCATAACTTTGGGTGACTCAGAGTCACCATTGCATGTCTCAATTCTTGTATGACTGTGAGGCCTTCCCAAGCCACTGGGGTGACGATGAGTGTTTACTTCCTCAGTGGCTTCAGAGTGCTGGCCTGACTTTATTTATTTATTTTTAAAGATTTTATTTATTTATTTATTTGACAGAGAGAGCGAGAGAGCACAAGCAGGGGGAGCTGCAAGCAGAGGGAGAAGCAGGCTTCCCACAGAGCAGGGAGCCCGATGCGGGGCTCCATCCCAGGACCCTGGGATCATGACCTGAGCCGAAGGCAGACGCTTAACTGTCTGAGCCACCCAGGCGCCCCTGGCCTGACTTTAGTTCATCAGGTTTCATTCTTTACGGTTTTGATCTGTGTCATCTGATAGCTGTTCCTTGATTCTGGCATCGGGTCTACCTCCATCCGTCACCCCCTTTTTAATTCGCCGTGTCTACCTTGGGAGCAGAGATGGCCTCAAACTCTTGTACACCCAAGTACACATACGCACGCCGGTACATCCTTGTAAGAATACATGTGAAGAAAAAAAAAAAAAGAATACATGAGAAGTAACCAGGGTTTATGATCAGTCTGCAGAGCTCCCCAGGTAATAAAAGACACAGTTGTGTGCATGGATTTATGGCATATATTTGATGCAACTCTGATAGAGTGACAAGTGCACCAGACTTGTGTTTGAGGCTGGGCTCAAGACCTGTGTGACCTAGGCAAGATGCGGTTACTGTTTTACTTCCAGGCTACTGCACGGATGAAGTGAGATTCAGTGAAAACCATAAATCATGACTCAAGTGCAATGTATTGGTGGTGATTATGTTTAAAATTACTCTCTCTCTTGGCTGCTTCTAGGACTTTGTTCGGTCTTTAATAACTTCCGAGGAACCTAGAGATCTGGAAGAAGGTTCAGAAGGGCAGCCAAGATTTTAAGTAAGAATTAGGGACCTATGATTCATGAGTTTCTTCCTTCAACCATTGTCTAATGAGCACCCAATACATGTCAGATGCAGAGACCTAGGAGGACATTCTGTCCATATACCACCTATGCAGTAATATCTTGTTTATCTAACCGTAGCCTTTCAGGAGAAAGCCAGGAGGTAGGCCTAGAAGCATCCAAGAAAGAGAGTCATTTGATTTTTATTTATTTTAATTTAATTAATTAATTTATTTAAAAGATTTTATTTATTTGACAGGGAGAGAGGGAGAGTGAGCACAAGCGGGGAGCAGCAGGCAGAGAGAGAGGGAGAGCAGGGAGCTCGATGACCCTGGGATCATGACCTGAGCCGAAGGCAGATGCTTAACCATCTGAGCCACCCAGGCGCCCTGAAAGAGAGTAATTTTAAACATAACAATCATCAATATGTTACACTTGAGTCATGATTTATGGTTTTAACCGAATCTCACTTCACTCACACAGTAGCCTGGAAGTAAGCCATCCCCGCACTTGCCTAGTGTCACGTGGCTACTGAGCCCTCCCTCAAACACAGGTCTGGTGCACTTGTCACTCTACTAGAGTTGTCAAATATAGGCCAACAGTTTACGCACAGAATGAGGACTAAGGCTAAATCTTCAAATTTAGCAAGAGAAGGGATTTAATATAGAACATTCCTTCATTCAGGGAACATTTAGGGCATACTCTGTGCTAGATATTACACATAGTGCTAGGAAGCAAAGAAGAAAAAAGTATGGCCCTTGACATCCAAGAACTCCTAGTCGAGGAGGGAGACAGATATGTTGACCAATAGTTGTCATGCAGGAGAGTAAGTGTGGTTGATAGAGGCACCATGGGAACGAGCAGGACAACTTTCTTCCTGTGGGGGAGAGAGCATAAAAGGTGTGGAGGTGCAAAAAGGCATGGAATGTTCAGGGAATTCAGGTGGTTGGTGTGGCGGGAATGCGGGGTGGGAGAGGGTGAGATGATAGAGACTGGAAATGTAGCCCAGGGCCAGCTCCGGACGGGTTTATACGTTGCCTAAACAGGTTAGACTTTATCTGGAAAGTGGGGGGACGCTGTTGATTGTAAGTGGGGAAGCAAAATCAGATTTGCTTGGGAGAAGAACTCTGGTGGCCACATGGAGTGTTTTTGGCAAGTGTGAGAGTCTGAAGGTGGGCAGACCGGTTTAGGGAGCTGAAACCTGAGTCCACGTGAAGGATAGTGAGGCCTGCACTGTGGGCAAGGCCTTTGGACCAGAGATGAGGGGACTGATAAAGAAATAGTTATACGGTGGAATTTCTAGGACTTTTGGCTGGAGGTGTGTCAGGGAGCTCTCAGAGGTGTTGCTAAGGGTTCAAGCTTGGACAGGTGGGCAGTGATGGGGCCTCCAACTGAAATAGGGAAGGTGAGCTGAGTGATGAGCAGAGGGGCATCTGGGGCTTCTGCTGGACTGCTTATGGGGTCCTTCCCTGAGCAGTGTCTTTCTTGGGTCTTTTGTGACCCAGAGTTGGTCATTTTCCCATCCATGGAGTCTGACTTACCTAAAAAAGAAACTGATGTGTAAATGATGATGCTAGTCTACGACTGTACAATGGTGAGTGTACATGTGTAATTTCTAATGAACAGAAGGTGAGTGCTCACTATTAAGGCTTCCTAATACCATAGTCCCTAGGAAACCCATTGAGTAATCAGGGAATTGCTTGCAGGGCATGGAATTGGAACAAAGGAAGAAAGTTTTGACCATGGAAGAAAAATTTACAGAATGTGATGGGCTCTATAAAATACGGAGCTGAGAGGTAGAGCAGGGAACTCAATGGTGTGGTGGTGGAGATAGGCAAAGTAGCCAATGGAACCTATATATGGTTGGTCAGTGCTGGGAGGGGGTGGAGAGCGCCTTACTCAGGAGATGTCTGCATGCAACACTGAAGGATGAAATGGAGGCCAGGCGTGGTGGAAGCGCCCGCTTAGCATGACCTGCGAGGCCTGCTC